AGCGCAAAATGAATTCCAGTTATATTAAGGCTAGAAATATTCAAACAAATAATTACTAGTAATATATTAGTAATTAAGCTAACACTTATTTTTAATTTGGATAAGTAGAGTCAGGGTGTTGTGGTGATTGGGGATGTTATATTATTAAAAATAAATAAACAAAGAGTCTCTACCTTATTGACCACTATTGTGTTTTATCATGAAAAGCAAGTGTTGTAACTTTCATTGTTTCACTTTCCCTGGCCATTCCGGTTGACTTCGAGGCTGGGTTGAGAGCGTTTTTTTTTTAAATATTTGAATTTATAAAAAAAAAGAAAAAAAAATGTAGTATGATTACGTCAGTGTTTCTTCCAGACTTTTTTCTCAGGGTGTGGAGGCACTTGAAATTTTCGGGGGGGGGGGGTGGACACTGTTAAAAGTATATATTTTCTATATAAATTTCATATCGTTCGGGGGGGGGGGTGGTAGACTTACTTTGGGGGACGCCCCCCCCCCCCACGCCGAAGAGATGCCTGGCAGAAACTCTGAATTACGTAGACTTTTCAAGCCTATTGTAGATAAAAGTGTATAATGATGTGATTTAATTTATAAGACAGGGGTTTGTGTAAAAAAATGTATAAGGCCGAGTACATTCGACAAAATACATCGTGTGTGTTTACGTTTAAAATTTTTCATAGGGCCTGTAAATTACTTCATTTCACGAGATTAATTTGTTTATTTTTAACGTACATGCATCCTTTTCTTTGTTACAGAAATACGAGATCACGAAGTTGATATTAACAGCCAGCCATGTACATTTGGACAGGTGTGTGTTTCTATAACTTGTGTCATTTACTACTTAATTTTTTGAACCATTTGATACGTCTACCTCTTTACTCATTTTGCAGTAACAAGTAGATTCTTTTACGAAGGTGAATTGGATATACCTAGAACCTAGAAAGAAATAGTTTTATTCTCTTAGTTCAATCAGCTTTGTAAAATTATATATTCAGCATTATTTTTCCCTTCCAACCAGGATTCGTTCCTCTACTGTTGCTTATCTCAGCTTGCAACGATGTGGTGATGTCACAAGGGACAAATGTCACGACGTATGACAACTCGACATATGAGAACACAACAGCTAATTGGAATACCACAGGTTGGTACAGGTGTTTTTAGTGGTAGTGGTGTGACATGAAGGTGGTAGTGGTGTCACATGAAGGTGGTAGTTGTGTGACATGAAGGTGGTAGTGGTGTGACATGAAGGTGGTAGTGGTGTGCCATGAAGGTGGTAGTGGTGTGACATGAAGGTGGTAGTGGTGTGACATGAAGGTGGTAGTTGTGTGACATGAAGGTGGTAGTGGTGTGACATGAAGGTGGTAGTGGTGTGACATGAAGGTGGTAGTGGTGTGATATGAAGGTGGTAGTGGTGTGACATGAAGGTGGTAGTGGTGTGACATGAAGGTGGTAGTGGTGTGACATGAAGGTGGTAGTGGTGTCACATGAAGGTGGTAGTTGTGTGACATGAAGGTGGTAGTGGTGTGACATGAAGGTGGTAGTGGTGTGACATGAAGGTGGTAGTGGTGTGACATGAAGGTGGTAGTTGTGTGACATGAAGGTGGTAGTGGTGTGACATGAAGGTGGTAGTGGTGTGACATGAAGGTGGTAGTGGTGTGATATGAAGGTGGTAGTGGTGTGACATGAAGGTGGTAGTGGTGTGACATGAAGGTGGTAGTGGTGTCACATGAAGGTGGTAGTTGTGTGACATGAAGGTGGTAGTGGTGTGACATGAAGGTGGTAGTGGTGTGACATGAAGGTGGTAGTGGTGTGATATGAAGGTGGTAGTGGTGTGACATGAAGGTGGTAGTGGTGTGACATGAAGGTGGTAGTGGTGTGACATGAAGGTGGTAGTGGTGTCACATGAAGGTGGTAGTTGTGTGACATGAAGGTGGTAGTGGTGTGACATGAAGATGGTAGTGGTGTGACATGAAGGTGGTAGTGGTGTGATATGAAGGTGGTAGTGGTGTGACATGGAGGTGGTAGTGGTGTGATATGAAGGTGGTAGTGGTGTGACATGAAGGTGGTAGTGGTGTGACATGAAGGTGGTAGTGGTGTGACATGAAGGTGGTAGTGGTGTGCCATGAAGGTGGTAGTGGTGTGACATGAAGGTGGTTGTGGTGTGACATGAAGGTGGTAGTGTTGTGACATAAAGGTGGTAGTGGTGTGACATGAAGGTGGTAGTGGTGTGACATGAAGGTGGTAGTGGTGTGACATGAAGGTGGTAGTGGTGTGACATGAAGGTGGTAGTGGTGTGACATGAAGGTGGTAGTGGTGTGACATGAAGGTGGTAGTGGTGTGACATGAAGGTGGTAGTGGTGTGACATGAAGGTGGTAGTGGTGTGCCATGAAGGTGGTAGTGGTGTGACATGAAGGTGGTAGTGGTGTAACATGAAGATGGTAGTGGTGTGACATGAAGGTGGTAGTGGTGTGACATGAAGGTGGTAGTGGTGTGACATGAAGGTGGTAGTGGTGTGCCATGAAGGTGGTAGTGGTGTGACATGAAGGTGGTAGTGGTGTAACATGAAGATGGTAGTGGTGTGATATGAAGGTGGTAGTGGTGTGACATGAAGGTGGTAGTGGTGTGACATGAAGGTGGTAGTGGTGTGACATGAAGGTGGTAGTGGTGTCACATGAAGGTGGTAGTTGTGTGACATGAAGGTGGTAGTGGTGTGACATGAAGGTGGTAGTGGTGTGACATGAAGGTGGTAGTGGTGTGATATGAAGGTGGTAGTGGTGTGACATGAAGGTGGTAGTGGTGTGACATGAAGGTGGTAGTGGTGTGACATGAAGGTGGTAGTGGTGTCACATGAAGGTGGTAGTTGTGTGACATGAAGGTGGTAGTGGTGTGACATGAAGGTGGTAGTGGTGTGACATGAAGGTGGTAGTTGTGTGATATGAAGGTGGTAGTGGTGTGACATGAAGGTGGTAGTGGTGTGACATGAAGGTGGTAGTGGTGTGACATGAAGGTGGTAGTGGTGTCACATGAAGGTGGTAGTTGTGTGACATGAAGGTGGTAGTGGTGTGACATGAAGATGGTAGTGGTGTGACATGAAGGTGGTAGTGGTGTGATATGAAGGTGGTAGTGGTGTGACATGGAGGTGGTAGTGGTGTGATATGAAGGTGGTAGTGGTGTGACATGAAGGTGGTAGTGGTGTGACATGAAGGTGGTAGTGGTGTGACATGAAGGTGGTAGTGGTGTGCCATGAAGGTGGTAGTGGTGTGACATGAAGGTGGTTGTGGTGTGACATGAAGGTGGTAGTGTTGTGACATAAAGGTGGCAGTGGTGTGACATGAAGGTGGTAGTGGTGTGACATGAAGGTGGTAGTGGTGTGACATGAAGGTGGTAGTGGTGTCACATGAAGGTGGTAGTGGTGTGACATGAAGGTGGTAGTGGTGTGACATGAAGGTGGTAGTGGTGTGCCATGAAGGTGGTAGTGGTGTGACATGAAGGTGGTAGTGGTGTAACATGAAGATGGTAGTGGTGTGACATGAAGGTGGTAGTGGTGTGACATGTGACAGGAAGGTGGTAGTGGTGTGACATGAAGGTGGTAGTGGTGTGACATGAAGGTGGTAGTGTTGTCACATGAAGGTGGTAGTGGTGTGACATGAAGGTGGTAGTGTTGTTACATGAAGGTGGTAGTGTTGTCACATGAAGGTGGTAGTGGTGTGAAATGAAGGTGGTAGTGTTGTGACATGAAGGTGGTAGTGGTGTGACATGAAGGTGGTAGTGGTGTGATATGAAGGTGGTAGTGGTGTGACATGAAGATGGTAGTGGTGTGACATGAAGGTGGTAGTGGTGTGACATGAAGGTGGTAGTGGTGTGACATGAAGGTGGTTGTGGTGTGACATGAAGGTGGTAGTGTTGTGACATAAAGGTGGTAGTGGTGTGACATGAAGGTGGTAGTGGTGTGACATGAAGGTGGTAGTGGTGTGACATGAAGGTGGTAGTGGTGTCACATGAAGGTGGTAGTGGTGTGACATGAAGGTGGTAGTGGTGTGACATGAAGGTGGTAGTGGTGTGCCATGAAGGTGGTAGTGGTGTGACATGAAGGTGGTAGTGGTGTAACATGAAGATGGTAGTGGTGTGACATGAAGGTGGTAGTGGTGTGACATGTGACAGGAAGGTGGTAGTGGTGTGACATGAAGGTGGTAGTGGTGTGACATGAAGGTGGTAGTGTTGTCACATGAAGGTGGTAGTGGTGTGACATGAAGGTGGTAGTGTTGTTACATGAAGGTGGTAGTGTTGTCACATGAAGGTGGTAGTGGTGTGACATGAAGGGGGTAGTGTTGTCACATGAAGGTGGTAGTGGTGTGACATGAAGGTGGTAGTGGTGTGATATGAAGGTGGTAGTGGTGTGACATGAAGATGGTAGTGGTGTGACATGAAGGTGGTAGTGGTGTGACATGAAGGTGGTAGTGGTGTGACATGAAGGTGGTAGTGGTGTGATATGAAGGTGGTAGTGGTGTGACATGAAGGTGGTAGTGGTGTGACATGAAGGTGGTAGTGGTGTGATATGAAGGTGGTAGTGGTGTGACATGGAGGTGGTAGTGGTGTGACATGAAGGTGGTAGTGGTGTGACATGAAGGTGGTAGTGGTGTGACATGAAGGTGGTAGTGGTGTGATATGAAGGCGGTAGTGGTGTGACATGAAGATGGTAGTGGTGTGACATGAAGGTGGTAGTGGTGTGACATGAAGGTGCTAGTGGTGTGACATGAAGGTGGTAGTGGTGTGACATGAAGGTGGTAGTGGTGTGACATGAAGGTGGTAGTGGTGTGATATGAAGGTGGTAGTGGTGTGACATGAAGGTGCTAGTGGTGTGACATAATGGTGGTAGTGGTGTGACATGAAGGTGGTAGTGGTGTGCCATGAAAGTGGTAGTGGTGTCATATAAAGGTGGTAGTGGTGAATAGTGTGAAAAAAGTTAGTGCCGACAGGCCTAAAGCTACTTAAACTACAAAAGATGCTTCGAACAAAAGAACTTTGTCAGAATACGTAATCGATCTAGAAGCCCCCTAAATGACAAAGGAAAATCAATTTATCTTTGTAGACTTATCTTATTTATAAAAATATTTTGTGATTCTAAGAACTTCATAAATTATGTATAGCCAGTGGCCACTAACATAATTGTCCGCATCTATATGTGTGTCCTTCGGTGAGTAAGAACAATATTCAATAAGACCTTTTTTTTACATCAAACTTTGCTCCGTTTGAGTTTTTGGATTTTTCCTAGTTAAACAAATCTAGCAGAAAAAAAGAAAAGCAAATACGGGGTACTCCGCGCTCTGATTTCTGTGGCTAAATCAAAGGAATATTTTTTCTTTTCATTTGTGTTTAATTAGCGATGGTATAGATTTTCACCATTATGTCAAACTGTTGAAGCTGGCACACTATAAAATTGATCATGTCGTACGCAGTAGTAAATGACAAATATTTCCTATAACAGCCATTTTCTAATGTGTTTTGTGGTAACTTTGCGTCTGTAAGTTAACAAAAGCTTAACTATGGGTTTACAACTTCAGATTAGCTAGGTTTATACATGAAACCAATATTACATTAAACACTTAAATTGTCTTTTAGCTCAAGCTTGCTACGAAATTCCTCGTGTAAGTGATTACTTTTGAAATATTTATTATTTTTCGCTTAATAGTAATTGGTAGTTATTCTAATGTTTGCTTACATAAGTTAATAAATACACAGACGAAGATATAAAATAAGTTGTCTCGATGCGTCGCCTGTGTGCTAGCTGTATTGTTCATATAGCAATTAGATGTCTCGCTACTGCAAACATTACGATACGTCACTCCCTATTTTCGATCGTTTTCTAAAGCCCCGCGAAACAGCCCGCATAGATCGTGATGGTCTAAAACAAATTGCCTTAAGCGCCAATTTTAAAACTATTTGGTAACGTGTGCTTTGAATTATTCAAAGCTTTGTTTTTACTTCGCTGTTTGTATTTGATTGAACAGACACCACTGAGTGGAATACAACCACAGAAGGATTGTCAACGACAACAGATTCGACAACTACACCGGCGACAACATCAACTGATCCTACAGCAACGACGACACCAACTGACACTACACCAACAACAACAACCGACACTACAACATCAACACCAACGACATCAACAGATACAGCAACAACATCAGCAACAACAACCGACACTACAACATCAACACCAACGACATCAACAGATACTGCAACAACAACATCAGCGACAACAACCGACACTACAACATCAACACCAACGACATCAACAGATACTGCAACAACAACATCAGCAACAACAACCGACAGTACTTCATCAACACCAACGACATCAACAGATACTGCAACAACAACATCAGCGACAACAACCGACACTACAACATCAACACCAACGACATCAACAGATACTGCAACAACAACATCAGCGACAACAACCGACACTACAACATCAACACCAACGACATCAACAGATACTGCAACAACAACATCAGCAACAACAACCGACAGTACTACATCAACACCAACGACATCAACAGATACTGCAACAACAACATCAGCAACAACAACCGACACTACAACATCAACACCAACGACATCAACAGATACTGCAACAACAACACCAACGACGACAATTGACACTACAACAACACCATCGACAACTGATACTACAACAACGACAACAGCACCAACGACAACGTCAATGACAACAACAGACACTACAGGAACAACATCAACAATGACCACAGCAAGTACAACAACTTCAATACCAACGACTGCTACCACTACAGACAGCACTGCTTCAACCGCAACACAAACAACAGCAACAACCACAGACACTACAGCAACAACCACACCATCCACAGCAACAACCACACCATCAACAGCAACAACCACACCATCGACATCAACAACCACAGGCACTACAGCAACAACCACACCATCGACAGCAACAACCACAGACACTACAGCAACAACCACACCATCGACAGCAACAACCACAGACACTACAGCAACAACCACACCATCGACAGCAACAACCACAGACACTTCAGCAACAACCACACCATCGACAGCAACAACCACAGACACTACAGCAACAACCACACCATCGACAGCAACAACCACAGACACTACAGCAACAACCACACCATCAACAGCAACAACCACAGACACTACAGCAACAACCACACCATCGACAGCAACAACCACAGACACTACAGCAACAACCACACCATCGACAGCAACAACCACAGACACTACAGCAACAACCACACCATCGACAGCAACAACCACACCATCGACAGCAACAACCACACCATCAACAGCAACAACCACAGGCAATACAGCAACAACCACAGACACTACAGCAACAACCACACCATCGACAGCAACAACCACACCATCAACAGCAACAACCACAGGCAATACAGCAACAACCACAGGCAATACAGCAACAACCACAGGCAATACAGCAACAACCACAGGCAATACAGCAACAACCACACCATCGACAGCGACAACCACAGGCAATACAGCTACGACGGCAACATCAGCACCAGCAACTACACCAGCAACTTCAACAATGACCACAGCAACTACAGCGACCAGTAAGTCTCTTTGCCATTTCGTGATTAATTAAGAATTCCTTGCTTATAAATACAGAAGCCATAAGTTCAGAAAGTAATAGGGCTGGTAAGTAAAGTAGGTCACCAACCAGTTCTATGGCTCATGCAGGTTTTATTGAGCCGTAGAACTGGTTAGTGACCTGCTTACCAGCCCTATTACGAGGAAGGAAAATATCACCTAGTAAATACCAGTAAAGTTGGATCAAAGTGCTGGATGGGGCATTCACCCAACTCAAGAAGAGATGTGTATCTGTAAAATGTGTTTGTACATAACTCTTGATTGGGCTTGCTGCGTTTATTCTGTTTTTTTTTACTTGACGGAAGAAATGTAGATTGCATTCATTTTTCAACTTCAGCAACAGCAGCAAGCACTGCCACACCAACGACAACATCAGCAACCACGAGAACGACAACAACCACCAGAACAACAACCACTCCTGCACCACTCGTAAGTAACACTGGTTCAGTTCACCATTCTAAGTAACACTGATTCCGTTCACCATTCTAAGTAACACTGGTTCAGTTCACCATTCTAAGTAACACTGGTTCAGTTCACCAATGTAAGTAACACTGGTTCAGTTCACCAATTTAAGTAACACTGGTTCAGTTCACCATTCTAAGTAACACTGGTTCAGTTCACCATTCTAAGTAACACTGGTTCAGTTCACCATTCTAAGTAACACTGGTTCAGTTCACCATTATAAGTAACACTGGTTCAGTTCACCATTTTAAGTAACACTGGTTCAGTTCACCATTATAAGTAACACTGGTTCAGTTCACCATTCTAAGTAACACTGGTTCAGTTCACCATTCTAAGTAACACTGGTTGTTAACCATTCTAAGTAACACTGGTTCAGTTCACCATTTTAAGTAACACTGGTTCAGTTCACCATTCTAAGTAACACTGGTTCAGTTCACCATTTTAAGTAACACTGGTTCAGTTCGCCATTTTAAGTAACACTGGTTCCGTTCACCATTCTAAGTAACACTGGTTGTTAACCATTCTAAGTAACACTGGTTCAGTTCACCATTCTAAGTAACACTGGTTGTTAACCATTCTAAGTAACACTGGTTCAGTTCACCATTCTAAGTAACACTGGTTCAGTTCACCATTCTAAGTAACACTGGTTGTTAACCATTCTAAGTAACACTGGTTCAGTTCACCATTCTAAGTAACACTGGTTGTTAACCATTCTAAGTAACACTGGTTCAGTTCACCATTCTAAGTAACACTGGTTCAGTTCACCATTCTAAGTAACACTGGTTCAGTTCACCATTATAAGTAACACTGGTTCAGTTCACCATTTTAAGTAACACTGGTTCAGTTCACCATTATAAGTAACACTGGTTCAGTTCACCATTCTAAGTAACACTGGTTCAGTTCACCATTCTAAGTAACACTGGTTGTTAACCATTCTAAGTAACACTGGTTCAGTTCACCATTTTAAGTAACACTGGTTCAGTTCACCATTCTAAGTAACACTGGTTCAGTTCACCATTTTAAGTAACACTGGTTCAGTTCGCCATTTTAAGTAACACTGGTTCCGTTCACCATTCTAAGTAACACTGGTTGTTAACCATTCTAAGTAACACTGGTTCAGTTCACCATTCTAAGTAACACTGGTTGTTAACCATTCTAAGTAACACTGGTTCAGTTCACCATTCTAAGTAACACTGGTTCAGTTCACCATTCTAAGTAACACTGGTTGTTAACCATTCTAAGTAACACTGGTTCAGTTCACCATTCTAAGTAACACTGGTTGTTAACCATTCTAAGTAACACTGGTTCAGTTCACCATTCTAAGTAACACTGGTTCAGTTCACCATTCTAAGTAACACTGGTTGTTAACCATTCTAAGTAACACTGGTTCAGTTCACCATTCTAAGTAACACTGGTTCAGTTCACCATTTTAAGTAACACTGGTTGTTAACCATTCTAAGTAACACTGGTTGTTAACCATTCTAAGTAACACTGGTTCAGTTCACCATTCTAAGTAACACTGGTTGTTAACCATTCTAAGTAACACTGGTTCAGTTCACCATTCTAAGTAACACTGGTTCAGTTCACCATTCTAAGTAACACTGGTTCAGTTCACCATTCTAAGTAACACTGGTTGTTAACCATTCTAAGTAACACTGGTTCAGTTCACCATTCTAAGTAACACTGGTTCAGTTCACCATTCTAAGTAACACTGGTTCAGTTCACCATTTTAAGTAACACTGGTTGTTAACCATTCTAAGTAACACTGGTTCAGTTCACCATTTTAAGTAACACTGGTTCAGTTCACCATTCTAAGTAACACTGGTTGTTAACCATTCTAAGTAACACTGGTTCAGTTCACCATTCTAAGTAACACTGGTTCAGTTCACCATTCTAAGTAACACTGGTTCAGTTCACCATTCTAAGTAACACTGGTTCAGTTCACCATTCTAAGTAACACTGGTTCAGTTCACCATTCTAAGTAACACTGGTTCAGTTCACCATTTTAAGTAACACTGGTTCAGTTCACCATTCTAAGTAACACTGGTTGTTAACCATTCTAAGTAACACTGGTTCAGTTCACCATTCTAAGTAACACTGGTTCAGTTCACCATTTTAAGTAACACTGGTTCAGTTCACCATTCTAAGTAACACTGGTTGTTAACCATTCTAAGTAACACTGGTTCAGTTCACCATTCTAAGTAACACTGGTTCAGTTCACCATTCTAAGTAACACTGGTTCAGTTCACCATTTTAAGTAACACTGGTTCAGTTCACCATTCTAAGTAACACTGGTTCAGTTCACCATTTTAAGTAACACTGGTTGTTAACCATTCTAAGTAACACTGGTTCAGTTCACCATTCTAAGTAACACTGGTTGTTAACCATTTTAAGTAACACTGGTTGTTAACCATTCTAAGTAACACTGGTTGTTAACCATTCTAAGTAACACTGGTTGTTAACCATTCTAAGTAACACTGGTTCAGTTCACCATTCTAAGTAACACTGGTTGTTAACCATTCTAAGTAACACTGGTTGTTAACCATTCTAAGTAACACTGGTTGTTAACCATTCTAAGTAACACTGGTTCAGTTCACCATTCTAAGTAACACTGGTTCAGTTCACCATTCTAAGTAACACTGGTTCAGTTCACCATTCTAAGTAACACTGGTTGTTAACCATTCTAAGTAACACTGGTTCAGTTCACCATTCTAAGTAACACTGGTTCAGTTCACCATTTTAAGTAACACTGGTTCAGTTCACCATTTTAAGTAACACTGGTTCAGTTCACCATTTTAAGTAACACTGGTTGTTAACCATTCTAAGTAACACTGGTTGTTAACCATTTTAAGTAACACTGGTTGTTAACCATTCTAAGTAACACTGGTTGTTAACCATTCTAAGTAACACTGGTTGTTAACCATTCTTAGTAACACTGGTTGTTAACCATTCTAAGTAACACTGGTTCAGTTCACCATTCTAAGTAAAACTGGTTCAGTTCACAAATTTAAGTATAACTAGTTCTGTTAAAACCAATTTAAGTAAAACTGGTTAGGTTTACGATGCGCAGCCACCTTTAGGGCCCCATTGTAGATTGGTGGAGTCATGGAAGTTCTACTGATTTGAACCCAGATTCGAACTCGAGATTCTCGGGTTAGAAGGACACGCCACCCCACGAGTTCACATGTACCCTGATCACACATCTCTACATCAACTGACCACACCCCCACATTCTTACCCCCACATTCTTACCCCCACATTCTTACCCCCACATTCTTACCCCCACATTCTTTCGAAAATTTTATTGACGAATTACAAATACAATGGAATTAACTGTCTTTAACATTTATATATTAATTCTTTGCTTAGCCGGTAGTTGAGATTGACACCACCAGCCTATCGTAATGTGGTGCCTGTTAACTCTTTAAGTCTTGAAAACCAGAGAATACATTTTCACCAATTCTGCAAACTTCACACCATACACAATTTATTCTACTGGAAATAGTTACAAAAGAGCTTCTAAACAATTATTGACCAATACATTTTGCTCCTCTTTTAAGACCGTCTTATTTCTGTTTCCAAAGCGATTTTCTTTGTTGCGACATGGCAATAAATCGCGCAGGTATCGATTTATCAATCCATTGTTCTGGTCGGTGCACGTTATTGCAACATTTCCAGGAATTTTCGTTAAGCTGAAAATTCGACGAAAAAATAGAACGCCCAATCCCTGTTTATTAGCAACGACCTTTTACAATATTATATATATATATATATATATATATATATATATATATATATATATATATATATGGCTACTTATTTTCTACTTCAATTTTATTTCAGCTTTGTTATAACACAACTTGCAACTACGAAAATTGCCTTAAAGATTTGATAAACAACAACAGCACAACAACATGTTTGAAACAATCTTCATTCCCTTGCACGGTGAGTCTACAAATCTAAAACATCCATGTGATTATTGGCTTGCATATTTATTTTAAAAACGAATTATTTGTCTCATAAAAATATTATTTTACCTCTGTGTGTTTACAAGAAAATGACGCCATTTTTTATCATCAATGTTGTGTTCACGACAGATTGAAATCTCCAACACTACAGCCCCCTCCTACACGGTGAAGGCAACGTGTGCTAGCAGCAATTGTGATGACAGTTTTCACATTATGGTCGCTGGGAAAAATATGACGTAAGCTCATTTATTGCTTCAGCTATGGAGGGATGGGTCCATATATTGCTTCAGATATGGAGGGATGGGTCCATATATTGCTTCAGCTATGGAGGGATGGGTCCATATATTGCTTCAGCTATGGAGGGATGGGTCCATATATTACTTCAGCTATGGAGGGATGGGTCCATATATTGCTTCAGCTATGGAGGGATGGGTCCATATATTGCTTCAGCTATGGAGGGATGGGTCTATATATTGCTTCAGCTATGGAGGGATGGGTCCATATATTGCTTCAGCCTAGGAGGGATGGGTCCATATATTGCTTCAGCTATGGAGGGATGGGTCCATATATTGCTTCAGCTATGGAGGGATGGGTCTATATATTGCTTCAGCTATGGAGGGATGGGTCTATATATTGCTTCAGCTATGGAGGGATGGGTCCATATATTGCTTCAGCTATGGAGGGATGGGTCCATATATTGCTTCAGCTATGGAGGGATGGGTCCATATATTGCTTCAGCTATGGAGGGATGGGTCCATATATTGCTTCAGCTATTGAGGGATGGGTCCATATATTGCTTCAGCTATGGAGGGATGGGTCCATATATTACTTCAGCTATGGAGGGATGGGTCCATATATTGCTTCAGCTATGGAGGGATGGGTCTATATATTGCTTCAGCTATGGAGGGATGGGTCCATATATTGCTTAAGCCTAGGAGGGATGGGTCCATATATTGCTTCAGCTATGGAGGGATGGGTCCATATATTGCTTCAGCTATGGAGGGATGGGTCTATATATTGCTTCAGCTATGGAGGGATGGGTCTATATATTGCTTCAGCTATGGAGGGATGGGTCCATATATTGCTTCAGCTATGGAGGGATGGGTCCATATATTGCTTCAGCTATGGAGGGATGGGTCCATATATTGCTTCAGCTATGGAGGGATGGGTCCATATATTGCTTCAGCTATGGAGGGATGGGTCCATATATTGCTTCAGCTATTGAGGGATGGGTCCATATATTGCTTCAGCTATGGAGGGATGGGTCCATATATTACTTCAGCTATGGAGGGATGGGTCCATATATTGCTTCAGCTATGGAGGGATGGGTCCATATATTGCTTCAGCTATGGAGGGATGGGTCCATATATTACTTCAGCTATGGAGGGATGGGTCCATATATTGCTTCAGCTATGGAGGGATGGGTCCATAAATGGCATATTATTTAGTCCCTTATTTCTAGAACATTCACAATTTAAAAATCTAGCTGCACGAGTACACTACTGCCAGAAGTTGTAAAAAAGTAATAATAAAAACTTTTCTTTGAGGTTGCGTTGCTGACTAAATATGTAACCTTGATGTGTTATATCCCTATTTATGTTAGGTGAATTTATTTTTCAGTGCTAAGTGGTGCTGCTCCGCCAATTTGTGCAACGTTGAAGGACTGGACACTGCTGGATCACTAACTTCATCAATGGCTGTCTTTCTCTCAGCCACCCTAGTCGCGTGGCTAGCAGCTCTGCAGTAGATGTAAACAGTGCCGGGTTATTTAGCGCCCTATGCAAAACTTATTAAAACGCCCCCTTTCAAGCAAATTAATTACAAAAACGTAGGTATAACAAAACAAAAAATTTAAATTGACATTAAATTATTATCAATTGCATAAACGTTACATACAAGTAGACTTCTAAATTTAATTTTTTCCTTTTTTTTAAAAAATGGAGATTACACATACTATTGTGAAATTTTGGGTCCATTGAAAACACTAAATTTAATGCACCAAATCCCCCAAAATTTGGTGTTTTTAACGGACCCAAAATTTGAAAATTCATCGTAAATCAATTGGAAGATATAAACTTAATTTTTTTTAGCTGAGTACCCCAAAATATGATAGAAAATTAAGAATTCATTGTTTATCGGGGGTAGGCTCCGGAAAAAAACGGGGAAAAAACTTTTTAATTAATAAGCCTTTTTTATGTATGTGTATATGTATACGTTAGGGTACTTAATGGAAAACATTTGCATGTACCATGAACTCTTCTGAAAATATGGTTGCCTTGGCAAATCAGTAATCAGTAAACGTTTTAATTAAGAAGTTGGTTTTTTTCCTGGAGCCTACCCCCTTAAAATATAATACTTCGTGAAAGGTGGAAATCCTATGAAGATGTTAATTGTTCAAGATGACCGCCATTGTCTTAGTTACCAAGATTTTCCCAACACATGATTTTTAATGAAAACATATACGAATGTACCTTTTAAAAGCTGTTTAGAAAAATTTGTTTGCCCTCTAGTATTAAGAAGTGTTTTTTTTTTACTGGAATCTACCCGCTTAAATTTCAAAGTGTGTTGAAATTTTGTTGACTGACAATCTCGTCCATCTGACCAAAAAAAAAAAAAAAAATCTACGAACATTTGTCAAAAATTTGATTATAAAAGATGTTAAAACCATGAACATGTTTAAAAAAATTTTAGCAAAATAATCTACTTTCTTTTTAAGCACATAATATTTACAACATTGATGCCAAAATATCATAAATTATCAACTTATGCATTCTAACTAATTATTTCTTTATTATGTATGTTGCCATAAAAAATTATATAAATACATTCCATTTGAAAGTCGTGGTCTTTAATGTTCAGAAAGAAAACGGGATTGAAATATCTTATGATCTGTTTGATGCATTATTTCTGTGATAATTTTTTTTTCTATTTATATGCAAGCTCAAATAAGTAAAAAAAATGTATTGTGTAAAGAATTTAATTTTATTGTTGTAACATCAGCACGTTTATAAAATAATAATAAGAATGTGCTTATAAGATCAAAATATTTTTAACCAACAGTTTTTGTTTAATCTACTTTTACCACATTTTAAAAACGTTATTTTATTATAGAATTCTGCAATTTATTATTATTATCAAATTAAGCTTTGTTATAAAATTGAACTTAATTAAATTAATTTTACTTCTGGACCAGAAATAGCTTTAAGGTAAGGTGTGTAAAATTTCTTGATAAATTAAATTACAAACAACTTTAAAGATGTTATTAAATATCATTTTACCCCTTTAAATAACTTTAAAGCCTAACGATGCATCTTTATTAGATGCAGAAATTGTATACAATAAACTTTCCTTTGTACATATTAGCAGATTTGCTAAAGAATTTTTTTACTTTATTTTCTCTCTTGCTTTACATGTAACTTTTAAACGATCATTTTAAAAATAATTTTCTATATTAGCTTTGCATTTGTTGATGAATTCATTCATTGACGAAGATAAAATGTCTTGCACTTGATAAATATGCTATTTATAATTAATGTATTGCACTACTTTAATCAAACCCTTAGTTTCCAATTGATTTAATGATCTTGAGTATGCTAAAAAAGTGTCTGATAATCGATTGAGCGCTAAAACAACTAAATTAAAATTCATGATCGTGTTCAGAGTTTCTTCAAGGCATCTCTTCGCCCCCCCCCCCCCCACCCACCCCCAAAGAAAGTCTACAGCCCTCCCCCCATACTTTTACGAGTGTCCGCCCCCCCCCCCCCACGGGAAATATTGTCCATCCCCTACCCCCTAAAATATCAAGTGCCCCCACCCCACCCCCGGAGAAAAAAGTTTGGAAAAAACACTGATCAAGTTGGTTATATGTATATTTAAATATTTTTATTATATAAATTAGAATCTTTACACACATATTTATTTATTATAATGGCCTTCTTTACTTTTGTTAAATTAATTATAACTAAGATGATTTCAATCTGTAAAAGATCTGAACAACGTATGACTCATTATGTTGTTCAGATGTATGTTTGTTTATGGGTGCCTGCATGTTTTGTTGCAGGGAAGTTACTCTGTCATGAAGTGAATACACACACACATATTTACATTATGCCTGTAACAACTAGAGATTCACTTAAAATTATAATAATAGCTTAATTCAAAATATGTAAGTATCTAAAAATGTATATTACTTAAATTTTTGAATAGATAATTTCATTAAGGTATTAGCAGTGGCGTAGCGAGGTCGGGTGTCACCCGGTGCGGCACTTAATGGTGTCACCCCCTAGAGGCAAACTTTCGATTTTGCAACCCCCCCCCCCCTCTCAAACTTTTAATTTGCACCCCAACCCCCCTAAAGTTGTTATCTATATATTTTGCTATTTTTTGCCTTGGTGTTAACCCCTTAAATGGTGTCACCCGGTGCGTTCCGCACCACCACCCCCCCTCCACCTCGCTACGCCTCTGGGTATTAGTATCAGGTATGGGAGGAGTAGATCTATGGATTGCTACTTCGAAAACTTAAAAGCCATGTTAATCCACTATGATGCTACATCCAGGCGTTTATGGATCACTATGCCACAAATTTATAAGTCATATTAAGCCAAAATGTTGCTGAACCAGAAGTGTTAGTATCACTTGCTACACATTAAAAACTATGTTAACACACCTTGTTACCCATCCATCTGTGATTATATAACTGCTTACAAAATTTATATACGTTAAATATAGGTAGCATATGCTTAGTACTATTTAAAATTAATAATTTATGCTACTTTTCTAGTATTTGTGTTCAAATTATCTAGACGTTAATTTTGTTTTTTCTGTATAAATTGTTATGCAAATGTTGGTAATATAAACATGAAAATACAAAAAATTCATGTATTTTCGTTATTATTTTTTGTTTTAGACTAATTTTATTCAGTCATTTTTCAATGTGTGCTTTAATGATAAAAGTTTCAAGCATTTTTATTTTATTTTACTCTAATTTTAAAAAAAATAATTTAACATACTTTCTACTTAATGTATCTTATAAATATATCTCAAATATTTGATTATTGTAATTATCCTAGCTCTAGTAAAAAAAAAATCTCATTCATAATTGATTTTTTTTTTCTTCACTGTAAAATTCTCAACTAATTTTTCTAAGATGAGGATGGTTCAGTCATTACTTTTTAAGTCATAGTTGTTCAGTCATTGTTTATAAGTCATACTTTGGTGTATCTTTTATTGTTGGGATTGATTAGGCACACTTTCTTGATCTAATGAAAAAGGAAATAATATTTTTAGTCTTCTTCTATTTGTACTACTTTAGTTAACTGTGAAAACATAACACAAATAAATCCAATGTAGCCTTTATGTGTCACTTTTAACAATTGTGATTTTTTAGGTAAAAATGTGATTGCCTTTGTGATCAAAATAGTATTTTTTTCTTTATAGACAAAATACCATTTAAGATTAATTTTATGCTGATTCTCTAAAACTTAAGGAGTAAAGGAGTGTACATAATTTAGACTACCATATTAAACTTGAAGTCAATCTTCAAAACATGTATTCTATGTCAGTGGCGTAGTGAGGTCGGGTGTCACCCGGTGCTGCACTTAATGGTGTCACCCCCCAGTGGGGCATAGCGACCCTTCCTGGGGACAAACTTTCAATTTTCGATTTGCACCCCCCTCAAACTTTCGATTTGCACCCCCATCCCTCGAACTTGTAATTTGCACCTCTTAAAAGACTATTTATTACTCGAATTAATCACTTAATTAAGTAGAATTATCATTTTTCTCTATATATTTTGCTATTTTTTGCCTTGGTGTCACCCCCTAAATGGTGTCACCCGGTAAGGTCCGCACCCCCCGCCCCCCCCCCTCGCTACGCCCCTGTTCTATGTTTAGTAAGTTATTGTTATTCAGTTAAAGGTCAAATATAGTTTGGTGATACTGATACACTAGTACTTAAGTATAAAGCAACTTTCACATCGATTTTATGTTGTGGAATGAGACTGGAGATTATAAGAACCAGTGCCATTAGAAATAGGTCTTTAAAGCTCCTATCGAATTTCTACCATACAGTAACTGGCAATGATTAGCTGGTTATCTTGTCCCTTGATTTCATTAAAATAGAGCTAGTCACTAAATTTTTACAGAGATGTGAGGAAGTGGAGTTAGTCAATACCTTCAGAGCTGAAGTTCAGTCTAATGCAGCAACAGAATAATTATATGACTCTAATTTCACATGCTAAAATTAAAGGGACAGTATTTTTTTATGGCATGTTCTGGCTAATTTGTCTTACCACACTCTTGTATACATTCAAAATTTCTCTGTTACTGTACTTAATTGATTAAAATATTTTTTTTTTACATTTCTCCCACTCTTACAATAAAATTAAGTTATAATATAAAATTTTGACCTAGTAGTACACATTTCTCATTTTTTATTGAACGTTATAGCTGGTTTAACAAGTCTGTTAAAATATCTCTTAGTAGCACCTGATAGCTTTTTGAACTAGCACTAGAACTATTGATATAGGATGTAAGAATTCCACTGTAAGACAAATTTATATTTCATATTTAAGATACTTTACTTTTTAAATCTGTTGTCTAATTGAAAAATTGTACTTTCATTTTGTTGAATAAAAAAGATTGATAAATAATAATTTGATTATTTTCTTCCTGTTGTGTTTCTTTAAACATAAAAACAACAATATTGAACTAGTTCAAATGTGGGGAATCTATAGTGAGAAATGAATTAACTCTACTTCATCCGCCCCATGTGTTGGGGAAAAGATGAAATAGAGAAAAAATCAACTTCATAGTTAGGCCTATTGTGTTTGTTAAAATGTGAACGACATCCGAGCTAATTTGTCATTGTTCTGTAGCTTAATTATGGTAGAATCTTAATCAAAGAAATGGAACGTGGTCAATGGTAGAGTGTTTAACTGCTAACCAGGGGCGGAACTACCATACCGCCAGACCCCGCAATGCGGGGGGGGGGGGGGGGGCCAGGACGTTTAGGGGCCCAGTTCCGACCAAAAAACAACTAATTTTTTGTTCAAAAATTATGTTTTTCATGCATCTTAAAAGTGGTTTTGTAAAAAAAACAACAAAAAAAAAAACAGGTCTACTATAGCAGAGATTGTTGCGTAGAAAAATATTTTAAAAGCTACAAGAGCTATAGTTTGAAAGGTAGGTAAACATTCACACTACTTCCAAGCCTTACTGCCCTTCTTTAAAATAGGGATGCCCACGAAGCTCATTTAAATAGTTTTGTACTATGTATATTAAAAAGCAATTAATTCTCTGAATTGTTACTTAAATAAGACGTACTATACAATAGTATGGCTATAAAAATCAATGTTATCAAAATTGATATTATAAAAGCCAAAAATGAAAAAAATAAACATAACGCGAGAAACCATTCACGAGTCAAGCTAACGTCTTTATATATTTTTGATCAGCATACATATGATACTTTTCAAACTCAAACTGAGTGTGGACTAAATTTTTCTGTTTGATTTCTAGTTCCGCCACTGCTGCTAACACAGAAGTCTAGAGCAGGGGTCGGCAACCCGCGGCTCGCGAGCCGCATGCGGCTCTTTTGATGTCCAGTTGCGGCTCTTCAGCTCCATTCACAAATATTAATAATTATTTTATTTTATTTCCAAAACTCATAAAATTATTAGTTTATATATATATATATATATATATATATATATATATATATATATATATATATATATATATATATATATATATATATATATATATAGTATGATATTTGTTTAGGATTATATATATATACTAAACAAATATACTATTGACATAAAATGTTTGTGGCTCTTTAAAAACCGGGTAATGTTGTAAATTGTAACTTTTGGCTCTTTCGCCTGAAAAGGTTGCCGACCCCTGGTCTAGAGTTCAGATCCCAGGCTGGAACCTGTTTGACATCCCTGAGTCCACCCAGCTCTGATGGATACCTGACTCACGTTAAGCACCCCAAAAGTCAAAAGCTGAATTAAACTGAATTAATATCTATAAAAAATTTAATTTAAGTCCTAAACAAGTTAATAAAAAGTCTAGTGACAATTTAAGCGCAATTTCCTTATGTTATCTAAAAATAGATAGTGATCAAGTTTGTTTTTTAAAAATGTGAAAAAATGATTAGGCCTAGCGAAACAAAACCTTGTAATTGTAACTCCCTATCACTCTCATATAAATTATAAATAAATTAATAGGGTACAAAAATAACGTTTGAATTAATAAGTAAATACGTTAATTTTGCGCTAAAAAAAGACAACTATATTAACCTATATCAACGAAAATAGTTTTATTTTAACGAGTAGGCCTACACGATGCTCAGTTTAAAAAGTAAATATCATCCTAGGCCTACACGATGCTCAGTTTAAATGTTCTTAATTAATTTTTTGTGACCGAACGAAAGGCTATTTTTGAAAATTTTCTTCGGCAATATTGTTCTAAATTATGGCAAGAATCGATTGGTAAATGTTTCAAGTCGCTAAATGGTCTGGTTGCCAAAAACTGCATTTTTTCGAGGTTTTTTTTGGCTTTTCCGGGAAATCCAGGAAGGAATTCCGGGAATTTTTTTGGCCCACAATCATCCTCGGAACTTGCTTAACATATTTGCTTTTGGAACTAGTCCTCGATATTGCTTCGTTGAGGAGGAGATACGACTCAAAGTTGCGCACATCCATCCATCCAGAAATGACGAGTTAATAATCGCAATTCCTGTAAGGAAATTGCGCTAAAAAGTATTCCTAGAAGGACCAACAGCTATAACTCTGTAGCTTAAGAAATTTTCATTTGATTTGTTGAGTTATCTACCTTATTATTGTTTGAAATAAGTAATAGGAAATACCGAAAACATCTGTCTAGCTTAATTTAGATAATGTTCAGAATTTGGTTTTGGCAAAATTAATCTGCTAATTAAAGAGAATTTTTTTTTTATACAGGGTTACTGCCAAAGCACACATGGCCTGTTAGGTTGGACAGGCTTACTTTTAGCAGAAACTGTCCATTATAGGACAAATACGTTTGGTGAATCCCCTACTGTGGCAACTTCAACTACAAGACTTGGGGAAGCTTCTGATTTAAACCTCTTCAGTTATCTCTACACACCCTGCCAAATCACAAAAGTACAGAAAAAAAAAATGGGTTTGTAGTATCAAATAAACCCAGAGTAAAAGTTGATTAAATTTCTTACATTGGCTACCTGACTGTTGAGATAGAAATGTTCATGAATTCATGTAACACTGAATATTGTTCACTACATTATCATACATCCAGAGATAATGGATGCACCCAGAGAAGTGAAATCCTCATGGAGTGTACCGTGACTATCCAAAAAGAGATCACAGTTTGACCATGCATCTGGATCTCTCTCAACCTTCACCGGTCATGTCCAACAGAACACAAAGCTTTAGGTTTGGTACAAACTTGTTACAGAAGTTGCCAAAATGGCACCAGAATTTGTAGTCCTATCACTTAAAGGATTTTAATCCTGAATTAGTTTTCTTTCCTAGACGGGTTGTATCACAAGCTGATTGTTTAAACTCTTGGCTTTGTTTTATTATTAATACAATACACAACATCAATAACAATAGTCAAACCAGTCTGATAAAAATTAATTTATTGCTTTATAATTTCACATTTGAATACATGTATCCATAAGTTATCAAGCTGTATAATACATCTAGTAAACCTTACACACCATTATCACTCTAAAACTCAACAGCTAATCTTACCTCACTCTAAAACTCAACAGCTAATCTTACCTCACTCTAAAACTCAACAGCTAATCTTACCTCACTCTAAAACTCAACAGCTAATCTTACCTCACTCTAAAACTCAACAGCTAATCTTTCCTCACTCTAAAACTCAACAGCTAATCTTACCTCACTCTAAAACACAGAAGTTAATCTTTCCTCACTCTAAAACACAGAAGTTAATCTTTCCTCACCCTAAAACTCAACAGCTAATCTCTCCTCACTCTAAAACACAGAAGTTAATCTTTCCTCACCCTAACTCAACAGCTAATCTTTCCTCATTCTGTATAAACTTGGAGTAATAAAAAAACCCATTATCAAGTTCATTAACGACAAGCGTGGTAAGTGATGGGATAACTGTCTTGTAATCAACATTCATATAAAAACATATTTCAAATGTGAGAGTACATGAAATGAGGGAGGATGATATATTATACAAACTTTACAATCCCTCCTCCCCTCTCAGTAGCAGCTTTAAATATTAAAATATAAATTATCACAGGCGACGTATTGAATCAAGTCAAACATCAACGAAACTCCACTTCAAAACATATATACGTGAAGGTTTCAAATTCAGGCATAAAAACATTTTAAAACTTGTAGTAGATTTTAACAGTGAAATATCTTACAAAATATGCTTTTACTTAATTTAAAACATCTTTCAACATCAAGAAAGATGTATACACAGTCAGTTAAGGCAGATTTTCACAAAGCCAAAATAATTTTATCAGTCTACATTGGAAAAGTGATTAAAAAATTATGAATATTTTAGTTCTTTTTATTTTTGAGATTCTGTAACTCTCTCATGTAACGTGCAAAGAGTTATGGGCGCACAGAAAAATGAACTAGAAATATAGTCACTGAAACACATCTGTAAAACCACAATCAATAAAAGGGTTTATTAATGCAATTTAACCAATTGTCTAATTGTTGTTTTCTCTCATTTGTTAAAATAATATGGCACACTAAAGTTCAGAAAGTGATCAATGCTAAAAAAAATTTACAGCAAAGAATTAAAAGATGTAGGAACATATCTATCAGATAAAAAATTGGACAACCTACACAAAGGAAAACATTCTATAATAATACTGTGATTGTCATTTAAATCTTTTTTGGAGTTCTTACACACTTTTAAAAACTAAAATTAAAAACCTTAAACATGTTGAATATAAAAAAATAATTAAACTTGAAAGAATGAAAAAAGGCATGAACAAAAAAGCAATACAAAACAATTAAAATCAAATGAAACTTGAATTTGAAAATACGTTAAAATTCGGAACTTCAAAAAGCAATAGAAATAGAAAGCATTGTTTTTTGTAGAAGTATTCTACAATTGTTGAAAAAATAATAATTGCACATTCCCGCCACTTTAAAACTTAGGATTTGTCAGTACGAATGTTATATGTTTTCTGTTCAATTTGCCGATATAATCTTCTCTTCTCTAACTGATAGGCTGAGCAAAGAATTTTGGGCATAGAGGTCCAGTGTGTGTTTTGAATGCAGCTTTTGATAGTGAGGTAAACTTTTTGTAATTTCCTCCAGCCTCTGTTGTCTTCTTTTAAAGTCAGGTAGATCTCAAAGGTGGGGGGTATCAGCGGGTTGCCCAGAATAGTTGCTAGCTTATTGGCTTTGTTCTTTTCCTCTAGCAGAATGTATATAGCACAACCTTTCACTCCACATGGCTCTGCCGTTGACATACGAAGAACATCTTGTGAAATACGTGAAATTAAGTCTGAAGGAAATATGATTTTACAACACTTTTCTTTTTCACATGACTCTTTGATGGCAGTCTCGATTTCTTTTTGAACTGCCTGGCATGTCTGAAACTCACAAGTGTCATGGAAGTCCCCATAGCTATTCATGTTTGGGTCTTTTTCATCTGTGAAAAATAGAAAATTATATTATTATTTTTTAAATTAAGGTACACATTTGAAATGATTTTTTACTTTCTAAAATGCCTATCAGTCAGTAACTCTAATATTTATGTACAGTATAAAACAATTTTAAGGTTATTAAAATTTAATAATTTAAGCACAAATACTCAAGCAAAAGTGATTCAAACAGGCCGAAGATTAAGAACATATAATCTAAGTTGCAGGTTAAACTTTTAAAACTTACTTAACTCTGGGATGAGGTACTGTTTAGTAACCACGTTAAAGGCTTATTAAAATGTTTAAAAATTTAGGAAAACAAAAATAATTTGTATTTAGCCTAATATTATTTATACCTAAATCTAGATCTAGTAGTAGTGAATGCTGGTCTTTATAAAAATAATTAGATGTAGATTAAGCGTTTTGCTACAAAGGGTCCACTCGAAATATCGCTCTGAACATCTCTAGATCTAGTCTAGATCTAGTACTACTAGTAGTAGATTCTAGAATCTACATCAAACTTCCACTAATCACCAAGATCTAATCTAGTATTATCTAGTAAAGTTCTACAGGACTAAGCTAGTAAATAGTAATACTATAGTTACTAATAGTATAGTAATAGTATGCTGTAGACTGTAGAGGCATTTAGATAATATTAAGATTAGGCCTAGGCCTATAATTAATTATTAATTAAGTAGGCCCTAGGCCAGGCCAAAGATAATAGGCCTATAATTAATTTTAACTTTAGTTAGATCTAGATCTAGAATCTGGACTAGATCTAGAATTCTAGATCTAGTAAGTAAGGTTGCATTTCAACTAGATCTAGATCTAGATTAGCTACTAGATCTAAATCTAAATTCTAGATCTATTACTTACTAACTTAGTGGAGTATTACTATTATTAAGTATTAGGGCCTATTAGGCTATTGTAACTAATCTAGAATCTAGATCTAGATTAGATAGATCTTCTAGTCTAGAAATACTAGAATCCCAATCGTCTAGAATCTAATAATAATCTAGAATTCTAGATCTAGAATAGATCTAGATCTAGAATAGATATAGATTCTAGATCCTAGATCTCTAGTCTAGATTCTAGAGATCTAGCACTAGACTCTACTCTACTCTAGAATACTCTAGATCTAGAATCTAGATCTAGATTCTAGATCTAGATCTAGATTACATCAATATTTTTAACTCACCTAACTTAGACTTGTGTTTTTCGTGTTCGAAATCTGTTTCAATTATCAAAGAATAGTCAGGTCCAGCTTTAGTGCCAACTATCAATGACTTCATCGCTGATTTTAATCTGTTGGTCAAAGTCTCAACGTCGATCATTTTGGTATGAAGAAGTGAAGCCGGTCAGCTGATTCAATGTAATGCGGAAATGCTGTGGGGGTGTGTTTCGATGTCACCAAATTTAGTCACACAGCTAGGCCTACTCAAAACTCAATGAACCCTGAAGTGCATTACAATCCTATCTTAGAAGACGCAGTTTATATCCTGGCTGAGCGTACGTATACTTTATATAGCAGCTTAATACTGCTGATTAGTGTCACGAAGCTTCTTATTTGCATATATAGTGTAGCTCTCCGTTTCGAGAACGTAGCCTGTCCCAAATTTCACACAACAACCAATCACAGAGTCGCGTTGTGGACAACAATGAACTAGGCCTACCTAGCCTACGCTTTTTTTTTTCCGCGGACGATGTCGCTTGTGACATTTGAGTTGAAATAGTTTCTTTCTCTCTCTTCTTGTGAATATATATATATATATATATATATATATATATATATATATATATATATATATATTAATGTGGATATGGATAATTAAGATATAGATCTAGATATAGATCTAGATAAAACCAAGTAGGACTACAGTCTTTAAAACGAGTACTTGTAGGGCAATGCCAATGTTGTTCTTTACTAGATCTAGACTAGATTCAAATAATGGGACATACAGACGCTAAAGCTAAAGTCTCTTATATTAAGTTAAGATGTTATTTATATTCATATTTGGTGTTATAGATCTACATATTATAGAATAGGTGTATAACAAAAACATACGTCACATCAATAAAACACAAAATAACAGAATTCTCAATTATACTCATTGACCAGAACCTGTTAGAATTTCTATTTTATTATTTTTGTTCCACCCATTGCTTCAATATCGGAGGTCTGTGGCGATAATATTGTCTTATGTGACAAAATTTACCTTGGTGACAAGAGTGGTGGTGGTGGAGGTGGGGGGGGGGGGGGTAATTAGGGGGTGGGATGACAACCAGATTTCTTTGACATAAAAATATCCACGTCAACTCTTCTTTCAGGGTGTTAGGCTTTGTTTGAAAATGTCCCGAAATCTACATTTAAATTATTTTGTTCCGGTCTAAATATAGCCATGAGAAATAATAATTAGACTCTGTAGGTAACTTAGCCGCAGGTGATTTGTAGTCACGATGAATGTGGAAATAGCTCATCGATGTACAAATAGCTCATCGATGTACAAATAGCTATTCGATGACTTGTAGCAACAGATGCACGGGTCACACTGGGAAAATCAAACATACCGAATGAGTCAGTACAAAAAATAGATTCAGAAATTCCAGGCTTATTCATATTGTTTATTTAGTAATCGAACAACCTGTACAAAAATCAGTTTTTAACGCATTGCTTAAATTTATTTAAAACAACTTCGCTCAAATTAAAGCCTTTTAATGTTCTAAAGATTGGAAATATTAATGTAAGCTTACCTGTAAGCCGCCAGACTACCCAGGATTTGTAAGCTGACCTAGATGTGTAAGCAGTAGGTGATATATACATAAACCTACTTAAGATATTTCGTCTGAGCCATGATGACAATGGTATATCATAGACAGTGTCACACTTGAACATCATAGACAGTCTCACACTTGTACATAATAGACAGTCTCACACTTGTACATCATAGTCACAGTCTCACACTTGTACATCATAGACAGTCTCACACTTGTACATCATAGACAGTCTCACACTTGTACATCATATACAGTCTCACACTTGTACATCATAGACAGTCTCACACTTGTACACCATAGACAGTCTCACACGTGTACATCATAGACAGTCTCACACTTGTACATCATAGACAGTCTCACACTTGTACATCATAGACAGTCTCACACTTGTACATCATAGACACAGTCTCACACGTGTACATCATAGACAGTCTCACACTTGTACATCATATACAGTCTCACACTTGTACATCATAGACAGTCTCACACTTGTACACCATAGACAGTCTCACACTTGTACATCATAGACAGTCTCACACTTGTACATCATATACAGTCTCACACTTGTACATCATAGACAGTCTCACACTTGTACATCATATACAGTCTCACACTTGTACATCATAGACAGTCTCACACTTGTACATCATATACAGTCTCACACTTGTACATCATAGACAGTCTCACACTTGTACATCATAGACAGTCTCACACTTGTACATCATAGACAGTCTCACACTTGTACATCATATACAGTCTCACACTTGTACATCATAGACAGTCTCACACTTGTACATCATATACAGTCTCACACTTGTACATCATATACAGTCTCACACTTGTACATCATAGACAGTCTCACACTTGTACATCATAGACACAGTCTCACACGTGTACATCATAGACAGTCTCACACTTGTACATCATATACAGTCTCACACTTGTACATCATAGACAGTCTCACACTTGTACACCATAGACAGTCTCACACTTGTACATCATAGACAGTCTCACACTTGTACATCATATACAGTCTCACACTTGTACATCATAGACAGTCTCACACTTGTACATCATAGACAGTCTCACACTTGTACATCATAGACAGTCTCACACTTGTACATCATATACAGTCTCACACTTGTACATCATAGACAGTCTCACACTTGTACATCATAGACAGTCTCACACTTGTACATCATAGACAGTCTCACACTTGTACATCATAGACAGTCTCACACTTGTACATCATAGACAGTCTCACACTTGTACATCATAGACACAGTCTCACACTTGTACATCATAGACATGGACTCAAACTTGTACATCATAGACAGTCTCACACTTGTACATCATAGACATGGACTCAAACTTGTACACCATAGACAAGTTCTGACAATTGTACACCAAATACTGCCCCAAACATGTTTATCATAGAGTCTGTCTTTATCCCAGCATAAAGCCACGACGTAAACTAACAGAGCCATCTGATGACGTCATGTTTTTTGCGGCCCTGTCAGGCCCAATTATTAACAGCTGATCTGCTGAGCTTGGCCTAGATTCGATACAAACGACATTTAGAATTCTTTTTTCTTTTTTTCCAGCCTTCTATCATTCAGAATGTAACCAAACTGTAGTTAAAAAGTTTAATTAACAAGTTTTGGGGTAAAATTGTTTTATCTAGATTGTTTCTATTAGAGGTATAAAATGTGACATTATTTGATCCTAATAAAACACGGCTTTTATATTTGGTCTTTGATGCGATTATTTGGTCGATGATATTTGGTCTTTGGCGTGATGTATTATACAACTCATACAAAACATGACTCAGAGTGATGCGTCACACACATACACAGACACACACCAGAAAATTGACTCGTATTCTTTTAAGTAAGGCGACGTTGGTAATGGACAACAGGTAATAATACAACAGGCCAGACATAATTAACCGATGCACTTGCCCAATTAGCATTACCTTGCCTTTTCTGGGTTGTATTATCTTATAGCCTGCCCAAATAGCATTACCTTACTACCTGCAAATAGCATTACCTTACTACCTGCAAATAGCATTACCTTACTACCTGCCCAAATAGCATTACCTTACTACCTGCCCAAATAGCATTACCTTACTACCTGCCCAAATAGCATTACCTTACTACCTGCAAATAGCATTACCTTACTACCTGCAAATAGCATTACCTTACTGCCTGCCCAAATAGCATTACCTTACTACCTGCCCAAATAGCATTACCTTACTACCTGCAAATAGCATTACCTTACTACCTGCAAATAGCATTACCTTACTACCTGCCCAAATAGCATTACCTTACTACCTGCCCAAATAGCATTACCTTACTACCTGCCCAAATAGCATTACCTTACTACCTGCAAATAGCATTACCTTACTACCTGCAAATAGCATTACCTTAACTACCTGCAAATAGCATTACCTTACTACCTGCAAATAGCATTACCTTACTACCTGCCCAAATAGCATTACCTTACTACCTGCCCAAATAGCATTACCTTATAACCTGCCCAAATAGCATTACCTTACTACCTGTCCAAAAAAGCATGACCTTATAACTGTCGGGTATAACCAACTACCTTATGTCTTATTTGCATATTTTCCTACTCTGCAGTAAGTCAACCTACACTAATATCTCACGGACGACTGACGAACTCTGACCTCTATATTTGAAAAGCCCTGCCTATATAAAAGCAATTAAAACGGATTACAAACTGCGTTGTAAAAAATGTCCCCAGATATATATGGCAAAAACAATCGGCATAAACATGTCATGTGATTCTAATGCCACGTGCGACATTAGCAGTTTATGACCTTGAGTTCTGGCCTCGATATCGTTCGCGTATGACCCGTTGCCACACCCCCATAGTAAACACAATACAGGCAGGGGTGATATTTTTTTACGGCGCTTCAGGTGTTCTCTAGTGCTTGAAGGCCGTTACCAATTTACAGTCTCGTGAAGACCTTTACAATTTACAATCACGTGATGGCGTTCACAATTTACAATCACGTGATGACCGTTAACAATACGATGATCTTTACAATTTACAATCACGTGATGACCTTTACAATTTACAATCACGTGATGTTACCCATGTGTTGACCGTAAACAATTTAGAGCCATTGGATCCTTGATTTTAGGAGAACTTGAAGCATTTAGCATCAGAATTGGTTGACCAGGTGTGTGTGTAGGGGGGGGGGGGGGGAAGGGTTGACCAGGTGTGGGGGGGGGGGGGAGGGTTGACCAGGTGTGGGGTGAAAAAAGACCAGGCGTAAATATCTGTTAAAACTGGCTGCAATCGTGTACGTAGACTTAAAATGACTTCTTGGCTTATGTAATTAAAACACGTTTTATTTTGTATTTCTCCTCTTAAGAATTCCAAAAATTAAAAAAAGTACACAGACAGGTATGGCACACCTTGATTCTACTTACTGGCACTAGACACGATGGTACATGAATGTTAAGGTATTCAACAATTATCAGTACTGTCTGTCTGAATAGTAAACGTTAAAATATTAAACAATCATCAG